GGATCTCGCTTAGAGAGACCAATCTACTTCCGCTAACCACGACCCCGTAGAAGGGAAGTCACTGGGGAAACATGACCTGGTCATCAGGTTCCTTAAGGGGGCGAGACGGGAAGAAGGAGGCGGGAACTGGCGAACATTTAAACAAAACTTTAATAATAAAATAAACACAAAATTGCGCGACAGCCCCTCGCGGACGACTGTCGCGCACAGACAGAACCAAGACACAAAATAAAATCCAGGCCTGGTCCTCTCTCGTCCAACACTTTCGTCACTCCTCCTTTTATCCTTCCGGAGCTCCTCCGTGGGACTCGAGAACGGTGAGTGGCGCAGGTGTTGCGCATTAGCATTTACTCCACCGGCCTCGCTACGTTCCCACGGCTCTTGGCACAAATATTTAAGTAAAAAATTAGAATTTAGTTTTTCAGCCATTTTGACAGCCCTACTAACCAGACCCTTTCCCCTAAACCAGCGGTTCTTAATCCTGGTCCTCGCGACCCCCCCTCTTCACATTTTGATGTTTCTCTTATCGCTTCAGAGGTTTGTTCCAATCGACCATAAGTCAGTGCCCTGCGAAGTGGACATCACAGGATATTCCACCACGATTCAAGTTGATGAAATCCGAGAGCTTTCTGACCATGCATAGACAGCAATGCAACTGAAACATTCCCAGGCCCAGAAAGGTAGTAAGGACATTGTTAAAGTAGTCCATGTGACATCAGTGGTTCAACTGTAATACTTCACAAGAATACTTTTTGTGCGCAAAGAAAACTAAAATAACGATTTCATTCAACAATTTCTTCTCTTCCTTGTCAGTCTTTGCTGCACATTCAGGAGAGTACCCCGATGCATGCGTGTGGTGCTGCTGACACAGGAGCCGGCGTTCTGACGTAGAACCCAGATGTTCTGCGCCTTGTTTACAAGCAGAAGAAGACACGCTGTACATCAAATAATCTTTGTAAACATATCTGAAGATTTCGACAGAGAGGATGACTTGCAATTGCCCAGTCTTACTTATTTAGACCAGAATATACAGACGATGAACTAAGAGAGATGGATTTTCTGCATAAGAATGCCAGCTCCTGGGTCAGCAGAGAAGAAATTGTTGAATTAAGTCATTATTGTTTTCTTTGCGCACAAAAAAATATTCTCGTAGCTTCATAAAATTAAGTTTGAACCACTGATGTCACATGGACTATTTTAACGATGCCCTTACTACCTTTCTGGGCCTGGGAACGTTTCAGTTGCGTTGCTGTCTATGCAGAGACAGAAAGATCTCGGATTTCATTAAAAATATCTTAATTTGTATTCCAAAGATGAATGAAGGTCTTATGTGTTTGGAACGTCATGAGGGTTAATTAATGACAGAATTTTCCTTTTTGGTGAACTATCCCTTTAAAGTGCACGAGACGTGACTACTATGCAAATCTCATGATTATGGTTAAATAACCATTCACACTTCTGTAGTAAGTTTTGTCTGGGTGTGAAGACGCTGCAGGCAGTGGTGTAGCGCAAATCTGTGTTCTTGAAGTAAACTTCAGCCGATTTCCTGTGTGCAGGGAGTAGAGAGCAGTGAACACTGTGTAGGGACCATGTCAATCGGAACAGAGTTCATTCATGGAGCTCATTTATAACGATCTGGTGATTTAAATCAGGTGTGTTAAACAAAAGAGACATGCAAAATATGCAGAGTGGGGGGTTACGAGGACCAGGGGCCCATTCTTCGAACATCGCTAACTCAGTTAGCTGGATTTGATTGTTGACGTTTTCGAATGATCTTGGATTATTTGGTTCTTCGAAGCTCATCCTGGACTTGCTGTCATAGCAACAGGTCCGTAAACTTAAACCTGCTTGTGGGCAGGCTTATTTTATGTAAACAGGATTAGATTGCATCTTTTTAAGTCGAATTGATATTTAAAATCTGTCCCAGCCACTGCTACTTTATTACAACAGTACACTACTAATCTGGGGATAATAATTTATAATAATAATAAAATGTAAAAAAATTAAATGACAAGATGGCGCCGATGAGGATGGCCGCCTCCGTGGTGTGCTCTGCAGTTGTTTTTGTGTTTTTGTTAGTTTGTCCTGTCTTTAGTTATATCCCTGCAATCAGTTTCACCAGAGACGAATTGCTGGACATTCGGCACTACACATCACCCGATATATTACCGGTTTTCAACTATTCTGATGTTTTGCTGGACATAGTAGTTGGCGGAGCAGCTGCGCTGATCAAGCGCTTCAGGACGCGCAGACAGGGGAAGAGAGCCGGCGCTCTCGTGAAGCTAAGGCAGTGCGGATTCAGAATGCCATTGCCTAGCATCCATCTGGTGATCACACTCTGCTGCTCTGTGTTTCAAGGAAACCTGGCTAAATGACGCCATACCGGACAGCGCGTTGAGTCTGCCGGGCTTTCAGCTGTTTAGAGCGGATCGCGATGCAGAATCAACGGGGAAATCGCTCGGCGGCGGGACATGCTTTTAAATCAACGAAAGGTGGTGTACAGATGTAACCGTGTTAAAGAAGATGTGCTGTTCAGATCTAGAAGCACTTTTCATTAACTGTAAGCCTTTCTACTCGCCGCGGGAGTTTTGCTCATTCATTCTTGTGAGTGCTTACATTCCTCCGCAAGCGCACGTGAACTCAGCTTTACGGAAACTCGCTGATCAGATCACAGAGACAGAACAACAACACCCGGACTCTGTTTTAATAATTTTTGGGGACTTTAATAAGGCAAGGCAAGGCAAGTTTATTTATATAGCACATTTATAATTGTTTTACAGTCTTTAATACAGGTTTAAAGGTAATAAAGGTAATAAAGGTAATTACAGGTAATAAAGCAAATCTCTCCAGTGAACTGCCAAAATACAGACAGTACAGACCATGTCCCACCAGAGACAGTAATATCACTGTTCAATTTCAATTGGATCACTGTTACACCACAATAAAGAATGCATATCACTCTGTTCCACGAGCAGCTTTGGGGCTCTCATTTACTTGTTCTATTTTTTATTTTTTTATTCTTTATTTATTATCTGTGTTTTTGTACTGTCGCTGTCATTCTGTTGCACTGCGGAAGCTTCTGTCATGAAAACAAATTCCTCGTATGTGAAAACATACCTGGCAATAAAGCTCATTCTGATTCTGATTCTGAGTGTTGTATAATCTATAATACTATAGACATAGCCAGTTTTACTCATTGAAAGATATATTTGTGATAAAATAATTACATTATAATTGTATTAGAGTCTTACACACATGCTATACAGTTAATCTGAGTTGTGAATTAATTTAAGTGCTGACAGCTATTATGGGAGTGGCTTGATGGAGCGCAGGAGATGCAGATAACTTGATCTTTACCCTTAAGAAACTTTAATTAATGCTGTCACATACAGGGGTGCGGGAAGATGTTTTCAGTTGGGGCTGCTGTGTGTGTCCGTGTTGGGTGAAAGGGGGGTGGGGGATCACCTCATTTGACAACTCCACAAAGCACTACAAGTGCGTTGATATGAACACTCGTTTAAGTGGCATACACACTGGGAAATTTGACTGCATTTCACATTTTTGAAATTATCGATAGTAGCTGATCAATCTCGGGGGTTGGGCTGGGTCCGCTAGGCTTACTCGTCTCCGTGCTCGTGCTGGAGCTGGTTCACTTATATCGGTGCTCGTGCTGGGGCTGGTGTTGGATGCCGATTTTGGAAAGTTTTTGCTGGGATGGGCATTGAAATTCGCTTTTGCATCATTATCTCCTAGTATTAAAGTTAATCTTGTTCGCATTCTGTATAGTTCATGTCTGATCACATAACAAATCTGCTTCAAAGATAAAATTTAATTTCGCTAATTACAACATGAACATTGAAATAAAAATGTAATGCCTGTACGAATACTAGAAATTGTGAATATAAATAATTGGGAATCATGTAAAAAATAAAAAATAAAATAAAAACAGTGCACATTTCATGTATCTATTATAACATTTATGTAGTTTTGTTCACTTGGCTGTTTCCTTATAAAGGTCCAGAAATTTGTCAAGTTTCGTCAGGTGTCTTTTATATAAGATGATAATTATATGATGTAATTTTTTACAATTATATGATATATGATGTCTTGCCGCCAGCCAATCGCTGCATTGCTGATCGTGGTTTTGAGTATCGATACATCTGCCCTTTACGGGGAACACGAGAATGCGCAGTAATCTTAGACAACTAAATCCAGCTATATTAATCAGATCCGCAAATTCGTTTGAAGAACCAAATTAGCCAGAGATCAGTTATCACGATTAGAAGATCTGGCATCTTTCAAATCATCTCAGATGTATTAAGCGAGGTACGAAGAACGGGCCCCAGGATTATTAGGATTAACAATTTGTCAATATAAAACATGGGTTAAGATAGATAAAAAAAATATAGTCACAATTTATAAAAAAATTACAAAAATTACAAAACAAATATGCTTTGTGTGAGGAACAGACCCAAAAGCGATCAATGTCTCTATCTGAATCACAACATATACACAAATTGCTGCCTGAAAGTGCTATGTCAGCTTTGATTGTAAAATGCCAATGGCTCTAGTGTCTTATGAACGAGTTTGTTATGCTGTTTATCTTTTTAATGAGATTTGATTGCTTTGATGGAGCAGGATCATTTTCAGCAATTATCACCTTAGGTTTTACTCAATTACTCACATAAAGATATTAAATGTGATAAAATGTGTCCTGATCTGACACATGAGGCAAACAACTGAAAGCAATGTAGTTCCTAGTTTGTCAATAAAGCAATGCCTATAGGGGTACTTTTAGCGTCTTAATAGTAAGCTTTTCCATTTTTGATGCTTTGAGAGTACAAGTGGGTTGGAATAAAAACAAGCCCCACTCTATATACAATATACATACAGTGTAAAATATATCTCATTTTTTTTATTTTGGTCACTTTTTATATAATATCATTTGGTACTGAATGCTGTAAACACACTTTAAAAAATAAATACATAAATAAAATTACCTTCAATGGGTCTTGGTACAAAGTGTGAAGAGGGCTTGGTTTTCTTTACTCGGTTGCCTTTCATGACCTGACCCTCCTTGGTGAGGCCCAGGAACCAGGCTCGACCTGACTCCTGTTGACGGTACATGGTGGATGAGTAGATCACGTAGTAGTTCTCAAACACAGACTCCTTGAATTTACATTCAGGTGTGAATATCTCCTGAGGATAAAAAAACAAAAAAAAAACACATGTGAAAGTGAAGTGACATGAGGCCAAGTATGGTGACCCATACTTGGAATTAGTGCTCTGCATTTAACCCATCCAAAGTGCACACACACAGCAGTGAACACACACACAGCAGTGAACACACACCCGGAGCAGTGGGCAGCCATGTTTTTTGCTGCGGCGCCCGGGGAGCAGTTGGGGGTTCGGTGCCTTGCTCAAGGGCACCTCAGTCGTGGTATTGAAGGTGGGAGAGAGCACTGTACATTCACTCCCCCCACCTACAATCCATGCCGGTACGAGACTCGAACCCGCAACCCTTAGGTTACGAGTCCAACTCTCTAACCATTAGGCCACGACTTCTCTAACCATTAGGCCACGAATTCATGTGAATGAACTTATCCAGTGATGGGTGGGAAAAGGAAAAAGAGAGGTCAAACAGTCCTATTAGGGAGTCCCCAGGGAGGCTGCCATGATTTGTATATGTGGCTTGAAGGACTATGAAAAGTGTGTGACTTTATATGTCTGTGTACAAAACAGTCACCAATATGTGGGGGTTAGAGAGAGGCAGCAGGAGTTAGCATCTCTTATCTGCGTCAGGTGACATACTGTCATGTAGCAGACGCTATCTTGCTAGGGATTCTACAAAGGTAAATGTAGCATGGAGGACTCTAGCCAAAACTGATGAACTTTAGACCTCAACTTGACCACAATGCACAGACTTTCCCTGCATCTGGCCACAAGAGGACTGTACTTTTAAATGCAGTTTGACCTTTGAGTTCTAAAGAAAAGGTTGGCAATAGTATTTATCTCAGTGGTCTGAAATAAGAACTTGCATAAATGGTGATCTGTTGTAACTGTGTAACTGACATAAAACACATATAGTATATTTTTTTCCCACAATGAAAATGTTTTTTTTTTTTTTTTAAACTTGCTGTAGGTTTTTGCAGTTTATTTACATATTCCTCATTTAAATATTTACATATATATATATATTTTTTTACATATTCCTTATTTTAAAAGGGTGTACTCACACTAGGCGATCTGAGCCATTCCCGAGCGCGTTTGACCCCCAAAGCCCGGTTCGTTTGACTAGTGTGATTGCTCTGTACTGAGCCAGGACGCGGTTTGTTTGGCTCAAAATTCAATAATGAATTCAAAAGTAGTGTATTGCACACTTTTAGTACTGAACAAAAGTGCAATAACAATTGGTTTGCAAACACTTTAAACAAATAAAGAGCTTTTTTACCGCAGTATTCCCTTTACATAGTAGCAGTTAAAATATTTCTTGTAAATCTTAATTTAAACATTAATGTAATCAAACTAAAATCTCCTTTACACCGTGTCTACACCGGATGTGACAGTTGTCTCGTTGCGCTGCAATAGCTAAAGTCTGCCTACACTGGACGTGACAAAGTGACCGTTGCAAATCAAAAAAATTTGAATTTTGTGTCAGTACGTCATAGATAACGAGGCAGCAGTCATGTCACACCGTGCCGCATCCAGTGTAGACAGCATAACTCATTATAATGGGTTCTATATAGTGATGCATCATGATTTTTCATGGCCGATTCCGATACCGATTTTTTACAAGCAAACTGGCAGATTCCAATACCTATTTCCGATTGTTTTTCCTTTAAGCAACAAACAAGAAAGAATTAAAGTATACATAAACAAGATGTTTATTTGGTAGTTAACAGGCCAAACTGGCTTTTGGCTATTGAAAACAATAACAGTAACCATCTGAAATTAATGGTGGTAACTGCGCAGTAAGCACATTCAATAGGCTACAAACATGGTACTAACATTTAGTATCAGCATTTAGCTTTTGTTTTTAAATTGGGTTGGTTGTTGGTTAAAGTAGTGCCCAAAGTAGCACAATTACCATATCCCAAATATAAAAACTCAAAATATGTCATTTCCATACCTAAAATACATATTTTACAGTGACTGTAATGCATATTGATCAAAAACGCAGCTTAAAGGCTTCCTTCCAGTGGCCATCCTTCAGAAAACTTACAGCACAGTTTTATCATAGATAGAATGCAAAATGTTTCAATACAAGCATTTCAGTCAAATGTAAATTATGCAACATTTCAAACCTATAACCCACAGGGGGAAATCAACCTATGGCAACAGTTTAAAAGTAGCCCAATTCCATGGAAAAAAAAAACGCGGACTTCCCTGCATCCAACACGAGCTGCAGGAGTCAGATTTCACTGATCACGGGATGAGAGGAGAGATGGCTGACCTGACTAGATCATGCAGGAAGATTTGCTGCTCAACGGATCCTGGGCTCACTGACAAACATTTGATCTTCCTTTACACAGAGTGCGCGTGATCGCGAAATCGAAAGTGAAAGTGAACAGCAAGCACTCATTCAAAAGAGATTTAAATACTCTGCATATCCTACACTCAAGTAGAAGTACAGATACTCATGTTTAAAAATACTCTGGTAAAAGCTGAAGTATGGACTACACTTTTTTACTCAAGTTAAAGTATATAGAAGTATGGGCTCTGACATGTAGCTACTTAAGTAAAAAGTATATTACTGTTTTAGTGTCACGCGGATATCGGGACCTCACGTCATATAAATACCTTAATACAAAGGAACTTAAATTTCAAATTTTGTTAGCTAATGAATGTATCCAGGCTGAACAACCGTCATGCAGAACAGGGCCGGACTGGGTCAAAATTTCACTCATCCAGGCTGTCCTATACACCCACAACAAATTCTGAAACCATGGACAACACTAATTTTTTTATGGCCATCACATAAAAAAGGTTAAAATCCTTAAGCTGGGGCCGTGCAAAATAACTATATTTTCTAAACTGCCTAAATGTCAAAATTAGTACAAAAATAACTACACCATCACAATATCTTTATAGAAAAATCCAAATATTGAACATGTTATTGCATTATCATGAGTCATATTTTTCCCTTATAAAAATTAACTATGGTTTTATTACAGAAGGAGGAGAACTGGCCCCACGACTGAGTAAGGTTGGGTACGGAAACCCGGTACCAATATGTAACCTGTATGTACTAGAACCAAATCCGAACGCAGATTTCGGTGCCATGCCTGAGCGATCGATTGAAATATTTGTCCTCTGGTTCTTCAAAACGGACGTAAGAAGCATCATCACTGGCACCGCACGTGAAAAATAATTTCCCGACTGAGAAAATGCACGTAAACTCAAGTCGGAAAGCTCTAATAATACAAATCCAACAAATCTTTGTAGTAATGTGAGTGTCCATGTTGTTTTCACATTCTGACTTAAAAGCACAACTCGGGAATTGAGAGCATTTGAGGAGCGCGTGAACGCAGTAATTACACTTGCTCTAATGGCAGCAGGTAGCCTTCCGTTAACTAAGCTAAACATGCTTAAATTAAAATGCCTAAAGCTAAACCTCCCTTGTATTCACATTTCTAAACCTGTTGTCCAACAAAAGAGAACATTATATAACCTTTTTACTCCACAACACCAGTCAAATGCTTCCTTTTGTGATCTGATGAGGCTTCTTGTCACAGAATGAGGCAGAAAATAAGTTCCATATGCTACTTTAAAAAGAATACATCGATTAGCAATATAAACTATATTGTCGCAGTCGAGTGTTTATTGTCTTTGTTTTATCATTCAAAACGTTTATATGTTCTGTTTTCTCAGTTAACTTACAGCTATAATAGTAATGCCTTTGTCCATTTAAGGGATTTCCTGAGTTTCGCTACTTCTGTGACTGGATATGTGGATTTTCTGTGCGAGGGCGCCCTCTGGCATCCAGTATGAATGAAACAGACATCATGTGTTTATAGTGCTAATGGCCAATCTATCATTTTTTTGGGGACATTTTATTTATTTATTTTTTAATAAGTATCGGTTCAGTCACCGTTTAGGCACCGGAACCGTTTTAAAAGTATCGATTTTGGCACCGGTATCGGAAAAAACCCAAACTATACCCAACCCTACTAAGTCTGGTTTCTACCAAGGTTTTTTCTCCATTCTGTCACTGATGGAGTTTTGGTTCCTTGCCGCTGTTGCCTCTGGCTTGCTTAGTTGTGGACACTTAATATCCAGCGATATCGTCGACTTGATTGCACAGATACTATTTATTTAATAACAAACCTCAGTGCACAATTTGCCACACCACAAACTGTCAAAAACATCTAACCAGCAAACATACACTCGTTTTCATCCATCTCTCCACTCTCTGAGGCAGAAGTCTCTAAACTCATCCTTTCCAATCATCCTACTACTTGTCCGCTTGATCCTATTCCATCTCATCTCCTTCAAGCCATTTCTCCTGCCGTTGTACCTGCACTCGCTCACATCGTTAACACATCCCTTCACACTGGTGTTTTCCCCTCAACATTTAAACAGGTTCGTATAACCCCACTTCTAGTGCTGGGCGGTATGACCAAAAATTTATATCACGGTATTTTTCAAAATTATACCGGTTTCACGGTACATGACGGTATTTTTTTTTTCCTGCATGACCGGGTGTTAACCATATTTTCTACTGATTGAGAGAGGAAATAATGCAGTATATTGACTTAGAATGCCCTATTTTACTATCATGATGTTGAAGCCCTAAGACTGGCAAGAGCGGCTTCCAAATCTTCTGTACTTATTTTGCTGGATCTGTCTGCTGCTTTTGATACGGTGAACCTTTAAGGCGCGTGACGTGTCTTCTTCTTCTTCTTCTTGCTTTATGGCGGATCGCAGACTTATAAGTGCATTACCGCCACCTATCTCTCAAGTGGACCATTGACTAACAGAAAAAGATGTAATTCAAAAGAAGAAATCTCACTCCAACAGAAAGATACTCTCACCCACGCCAACCGGCTCTGTCCACACTCACTCCCAGCATGCACCCTCACAGAGAGAGAGAGAGAGAGAGAGAGAGACATCCCCCTCCAGCCCCGGTGAGGAAAGACATCGCCTGGACAAACATCACACATCGTCCACCGCACCCAACCAAGTCACCAACTTTACATTCTGCTGCCCTTCCAACCCCCATAAGAAAGAAGAAACCAAAAACCACCCCACACCAAGAGAAACCCCCACAGCGGAGAGCACAGAGTTATGCTGAAGCCGCAGCCCGGCCCTCTGCTCCACCCAGCACCTCCACACCTGCCAGCGAACTGAGCCAGATCAAAGAGATGCTGCATACACTGTGCAACCAGCTCCTGAACAGATAAGGACAATATGCACAAACACAGTGCGCTAAGATTGACAAAACAAAAAAAAAGCACAAAAAAAAACCAAAACAAAAATGCACTAATGTAAATTGTTTACTAGGGGTGCGCCGATCCGATATTCAGTATCGGTATCGCGCCGATACTGCAATTTTCTGCTGGATCGGTATCGGT